TGCCTGCCCCCCTGCCCCACCCCCCGGCCCCTGCCTGGGGCTGTTGCCTGCACCAGCTCCAGGATGGGCAAAGCCAGGGCAAAGGGGTGTCGGTGTTCTGGTGCATGTGAGGATATGGCCTGAACACGGCCATGGGATTTGTAGCCCCTTTGCATGACAAGTTATGTTGTGGTGAGCCCTTTGCACATGGTGTTGGTGATGGCTGTGGGTCAGGTCCCTTGCCCTGGCTGTCTCATGGGACTTGCAGGGATGGGAGCCCCTTGTGCCATCACCCATGCTGAGACCCTGCAAGTGGGCACAAGCAGACCCCTGCCCACCATCTGCCTCCCCTGTGGGTCCAGCCCCACTGCCAGCTGCTCTGTCACTGCTGTTCATCTCTTCTTCATGTCTCTCCCTCCTCTCCGATGCCCCCTCCCTGTCCTCCCGGCAGGCCATGGGGTGCGCAGGGGTCCTGGCTACTCCAGAAGACCCTGAGGAGCGGCAGGGTGCCCAGGGGGAAGGTCTCAGTCCCTGTCCCCTGGAGTGCCAGGAGCTGAGTGCTGTCCCCATGCCACAAACTGTAAGCGCTCCGGGTGCATGGGACTATGCCTGTCCCTGCTGCCATCCCCATGGCTGTCCCCATGGCTGTCCCCAGGGTGGTGGCTGGTCCTCTGGGGTGGCTGTGTCCCCCCTCTCCTCCCACCCCGCCACCCTTGGGGTGCATGTGTCTGGTGGCTGTGACTTGGGGGCTCGTGATGCCGAGTTAGGTAATGCCACCTCGGGCTGGTACTGCCACCATTGGTGTCACCTCCTCCCTTGGTCCCCAGATAAAGCGTTTCCTGAAGGAGGACTCAGAGGAGGCTGAGCTGACCCAGCTCCTGCGGGACTGCCCAGCGGCCGACAGCCTCAGGAAGGTGGAGCCCCTGGAGAGCCGGCGGGAGCCTGGCCACCCACTCTGTGGCATGGGCAGGGTCCCCCCTGACGAACCCGCTGATGAGAGGGATGCCAGGATCATCTCCCGTTCTCGGCCCTTGGATTTCCAGCAGCACATTGCCGCCCCCCCACCCTCTAGCCCCAACCGCCCGCGGAGCCCCTGGGGGCAGCTGGACCCCTACGACTCCTCTGAGGTGCAGGATGCATCTGTGGGGAGGGGGGGCATGGGGTGAGGAGATGCAGGAGTCATGGGGGAGGATGACCCCCACGT